TTTAGATGCAATTTGATTTCTTGCTATAAAAAATTTCATTATCCAAAACTAATAAACAGTCATTTGAAGTAATGGAAACTTCAGAGCCATCTAATAAATTTTCTTATTATCACACTTTCAGTTTTGAAGCATGGGATAGCCTTGTGGTTTGGTTTTATTTGTATTTATGCACAGCAGAGCACAGAATTTCATGTAACAGAGCAGACTAACAACCCATTGAGTTTGTTACCCTTTCTGTGGTGTGTCCTTTACCTGATGATTCAGGGCAATTTTCACATCACCAAATTAAGTTAACCACAATATTTTGCCACATGGGGGTGTTTCTGACTCCTGAAAAATTATTTTAAAAGTCACTTACTTTCAAATGGACATAACTTTCCACTTGTAAAAATCTATTCCAGCAAAGTCTTCTAGAAGCAATTGACAGATACCAATTACTGTTGTGGTTTATATGTAAATTTAAAGCAAACATACATGATATTTTGTGTCCTTTAAATTTCATGTGTCTCTTTCCTTCTCTTTTCAAATATAAGCCAAATTTGTTTTTCATATACAAGGAGGAAATTCTGTAGCTATGTGTTTAGCACTTAGGTAGAATAGCTTTTCAGTATTCTGTGGTACTGGAACTTACCTTAAGTGGAAGACAAATTATTTGCACTTCTAAGAGAAAATTTATTTCTGAAAACAGTTTTTGTATTTGTTTGTACACAGGCTTAAAATGCATTCATCTCTTATTCCTGACATGAGAAGTGGGTAGCATACATACCATCGACATGCTCTGATACAGCAAAGCCATCTTCTGAAAGGGGTAAGAGCAATGTCTAAAGGAGTTAATGTAGCTTATGAAGGTTATCATACAAAAATAATTAAACAGATCCTGGTTTGGTTTTGGAAGTGTAGGATTTTTTTTGTCATGCCTTTATACATGTTCATCCAAGTTTCCACTCTGTTGGAAGGAGGAGTAGGTAGGCTACCTGTGCTTCTGTAAACCCTGCTCTCCTTGAAGTTACATGGATAAAGCTGATTCTGCAGGGAGAGTAAGGGCCATAGCTTGGCTGCTCTCCTCCCCTTGTTTCCAGCCTTGGTTGCAGAAGTCATTATTATGATGTCCTATGTGAGGGAAAAATCAGCCCAAGACAAAATTACCTAAAAGGGATTAGTCTGAAATAGGCTCCTTTTCAGGTGCTTGGAGCTTGATTTTTATGCTGTTACTCAGTGGACAAGTCAGGCTACATTTGTAAACAACAATATTCTGCTAGTGGGAAAAGGCTGATGAAAATCTGTCTTAGGCAGTGGTCCCTCAGATTCACCCTGCTTAGCTGAAAACAAAAAATTGAGATTATTTGCACTAGAGGCAATTTATTGAAACGGATTCTTCTTTTTTTCCCTCCAGTGCTTTAAATTTCATATCTTTGTGCTTTTCTCAAACAGTCGGGCTAGTGACATACATCCCCACAAACATAAAAGAAGTTTCGGTGTGAGCTCTGTGCTGCATGAGAAGCACCAGTTGTAAGAACCAGCCCCGGGAAGAGGCGGCGGGTGCGAGGCCGGGTACCGCGCTGGGGGAGGGGACAGGGCGGCTTTTACTTTTTACTTCTCTTCTGCTTTGGCCTGAAACAACCAACACCTGGGGGTCTCAAAGAGGTTATCGCTGCCCTGCGGCTCCTAACCCTAAAGCAGCAAGACAGACGAGAGGCGGAGGAGAAGGACGACGGGGTCTGCGGTAAACGGCGGCGGGAGAGAGCGACTGGCGCGCCTTCCCCGCCCCGGGG